TCTTCCCCTTCTTCCCCTTCTTCCTCTTCTTCCTCTTCTTCCCCTTCTTCCCCTTCTTCCTCTTCTTCCTCTTCTTCCTCTTCTTCCCCTTCTTCCCCTTCTTCCTCTTCTTCCCCTTCTTTCCCCCTTCTTCCCCTTCTTCTACCCCTTCTTCCCCTTCTTCCTCTTCTTCCCCTTCTTCCTCTTCTTCTACCCCTTCTTCCCCTTCTTCCTCCTTCTTCCCCTTCTTCCTCTTCTTCCCCTTCTTCCTCTTCTTCCTCTTCTTCCTCTTCTTCCCCTTCTTCCTCTTCTTCCTCTTCTTCCTCTTCTTCCCCTTCTTCCCCTTCTTCCTCTTCTTCCTCTTCTTCCTCTTCTACCCCTTCTTCCCCTTCTTCCTCTTCTTCCTCTTCTTCCTCTTCTTCCCCTTCTTCCTCTTCTTCCTCTTCTTCCCCTTCTTCCTCTTCTTCCTCTTCTACCCCTTCTTCCTCTTCTTCCCCTTCTTCCCCTTCTTCCCCTTCTTCCTCTTCTTCCTCTTCTTCCCCTTCTTCCCCTTCTTCCTCTTCATCCCCTTCTTCCTCTTCTCCCCTTCTTCCTTTCTTCCCTCTTCCCCTTCTTCCCCTTCTTCCTCTTCTTCCTCTTCTTCCTCTTCTTCCTCTTCTTCCCCTTCTTCCTCTTCTTCCTCTTCTTCTCCTTCTTCTTCTTCCCCTTCTTCCTCTTTTACCCCTTCTTCCTCTTCTTCTTCCCCTTCTTCCCCTTCTTCCCCTTCTTCCTCTTCTTCCTCTTCTTCCCCTTCTTCCTCTTCTTCCCCTTCTTCCTCTTCTTCCCCTTCTTCCCCTTCTTCCCCTGCTTCCTCTTCTTCCTCTTCTTCCTCTTCTACCCCTTCTTCCCCTTCTTCCTCTTCTTCCTCTTCTTCCTCTTCTTCCCCTTCTACCCCTTCTTCCTCTTCTTCCCCTTCTTCCTCTTCTTCCCCTTCTTCCTCTTCTTCCCCTTCTACCCCTTCTTCCCCTTCTTCCTCTTCTACCCCTCTTCTACTTAAATCCTCCCTCCTTTTCCTCCAATAAACCTACACTCAGACCATACCACATCTACTCACAATTTCTTCTTCTCTGACTTCACACCCCCTCACCCCACTCATATCATCACTTTCACCTCCCCCTCTGTACCATAACATCACCCTAATTGTAATTCACCCAAACATGATAATCATTTAATTTTTTTTTTATCGTAAGTCACATTCACCAGATCCTCCAATACAAAGACATTATCCATTTTCAAGATTTGTTATCGTCCCACCAAATCTCTTTTAAGCTCTCTCACAACAACAACAAAGAAATAAGACCTTAAAAATTTCCATACAATAAAAAAAACTTAAAATCAACTACATGTCTTGTCCCATGGAAATCTTCAAATTTCATTTAAATAAAACCTCACTTCAAATGAAGTACCTCATTTCAGTTTCTAACATTTGCACACTTTTTAAAAATATTGAATTCCACCTATACCTCATAAACCTCCCACACTCCAAACACACCCAAACAACCTCTGCTCACCTCAACGCCCTACTCCATTTATTCCATCTTTCAACAACAGAATCCCTTTTCAACTAACTACTAATTTCCCTATTTCCCCCAAAAGAAAATATATCACAATATAAACAATCAGATCACAAAAGATAAAAACCAAGTTTTAACAGCTAATTATTACTCTACTTACATGACGTCCATCACCAAGCCAAGAGAAAAGGAGACGATAAAACCAGAGAAAAAAAAAAAGACATTAAACCAAAATAGAAAGAAAAGACGATTAAACCAGAAAAAAATATAAACGATAAGCCTGAAGTAAAAAGACATAAAAGCCAAGAAATAAAAAAGAACATAAAAACCAAAAAAAGAAACATAAGAACCCAAAAGAAAAAAAACATAAACAAAAAAACGATAAAACCAAGAGAAAGAACATTGGAACCAAAAGAAAAAGAACAATAAGAACCAAAAGAGAAGAAACGATAAAAGCCAAGAAGAAAAAAAAAACATAGAAGAACAAAAGAGACATAAGAAAGAAAAAAAAACATAAGAACCAAAAAAACATAAAAAAGAGAAAACTAAAGCCAAGAAGAAGATAAAACATAAATTCAAAAAAAGTGAACAAAAACCAAGGAAGAAAGAAAAAACGATAAGATCCAAAAAAACAAAACCAGAGAAAGAAACTTATAACCAAAATAACATAAAAACAAAAAAAAAATACATAGAATACCAAAATATACTTAAACCAAAGATTTTACATATTAACATAAGTATAATCATTTGTCCATTATTTACAGACAAACCCCATAAGAATAATTTATAACTTAAATAATTTTATTCTAAGAAATAATAAAATAAATCCAAGATGAAAAAATAATTTATAATTTTTTTTTTACTAATACCATAAAACAATAATCATGTATACTTTATAAAACATTAAGCTTGTTTAAATAACAAAAGAACCATTATTGGTTCATACCATTACATAATTCTTAATAATCTGATATATAGATTATAATAAGAATAATACTTTATGATGAAAAAGATATTAGATAAAATAATTATATCGATTAATTTAGAGAAATTATCTGCTTTTATATTCTTTACATTCCATCTACCATCCAACTATTTCTTCTCAAACCAGATTTCAATTCATCTGTGTTTTCACCTTCTAATCAACACTCAATACTTGAGTTCCCTTCATCTTTCTCACTTTCCCGCCCATACCCACACCCCCCGAACGCACTCCTAACACCCGAAAAGCCCCTAACCCTCACCTCAAAAAGCCAAAAAAAAACCATTATCACGTTTATTAAACTATTGATAACAAGTGCACACAATCAACATTAAACACGCTATCAAAACTCATCATCCCATTCCTCTCATAACACACCACTATACAAAACTCCTTAAATTCCACCCGATCTTTTAACCAAAACACCCAAATTATTAGCCGTTATTAAACGAAAAAAACGATATCTCATAACATTTCTTTCTCAAGCTATCATAGATGCAATTTTCATCACTTTTAAGTTTTGTATTTCATACACTTTTACAACTTTTGAATAAACTCAACATTCTACAATTGCTAACCATAAGTTGCCCTTGGTTTTCGATCAACCAACTACATCACTGAACTTCTATTAGGCTCCATCCCCTCATAATCACTCCTTCGTTTTTTCTCTTCCCTACCACACAATAAAACTTCTTCTTCTGAATTAAAACCCACCCAACATATGCTCCTCTACTCAGGTAAATATAATCCTATTTTGATTTCAATCTTTATTTTATAACATATTCTAAACATGATTTAAACACACATTAATATTTTTTCATTTTTCAATACAACGTCCACAATCTGTCTGATAACCACATAACTCTCCACAAGAATCTTGGCCACGTAAATAAAACATCCGAATGCACACCACAATACAAATCACTCTCAAAAAGAAACCTCAAAATGTCCACCTTTAATTCCACAAACTCATGAATTACACACCATAAATTCAATCAAATTCTGGATATATTATCAAAAGAGTAAAACTTTCAAATTAAACTTATGACTCCGTTCAAAGACTATCACACAATAGTTGAGATATCCATCTGATCTTAACCATTATCTACCTATTAAATCAATTTCTAACACAATAATACTACCCCAGTTCTTCCAAAACTCTCAATTTTGTTCCGACCAACACTTTCATAACCATATATCCGCACACCAGTCCAAATACATCCCTACTCTGTCTTATCATTTAAACCTACCATATCATTACCTACATTACTCTGCTACCATTAAACTCTCCATAATCATTCCTACTTACTCTTCTTAACATTGAAAACTCTGTCCTTATCATTCCTACATTATCATCTTACAATTGTAAACCTCATCATTTCCTCATAATCTTCTTACAATGTTAAACTCTGTCCTTAACATTTCCTACATACTCGGTCTTACCAAGTTAACGCTGTTCCTATCATTCCTACATTACTCTGTCTCCATTAAACTCTTCAATATCTTCCTACATGTACTCTCTTACCATTTAAACCTGCCATAACATTTCCTACATACGTCTTTCTTACCATTTATACCTTCCATGTCATATTCCACATTCTCTGTCTACCATTAAACTCTCCATAAGCATTCCACATTACTCTTCTTACCATGTAACCCACTCGTCCCAATCATTTCCTACATTACTACTCTTACCATTTAAACGCTTCCTATCATTTCCACATACTCTGTCTTACCATTTAACTCCTTCCATATCATTCCTACATTACGCTTCTTACCAGTTAATAACTCGTCCATATCATTTCCTACTGTTCCTTCTTACCATTTAAAATCTCCTAATCTTTTCCTACATTACATCTTCTTCCGATTTAAACTCTGCCATATCTTTTCCACATGTACTCGCTTACCATTTTAACTCTCCAAATCATTCACCATTACTCTTCTTACCATTGATACTCTGTCCATAACATTTTCCTACATGTTCCGTCTTCCTTAAAATGTAAACTCTTCCATATCATTTCCTACATTACTCTTCTACTCTTTTAACTCTGTCCTGATCATTCCTACATTACTCTTATATCCTTGCTCCATTTCCTCTTAATCCCCTCCACCATCAAGAGCGGACTTGTATCTGTCTTGACACAAGATTTGTCTGAATTTGCCTGATTTAGTTTGTCAGAATCATATAAAAAACTTTCTTTCATCCAAATATAAAACTGAACCACAAAGAATTTTTTAACTGTCAGACGCAAAATTTTCCCTTCTCCCCACCTCCTACGCAAAGAATCTAAACTAGCATACTAAACTAGTCCCACTTGTTGTTGATTCTTGACAAAGAATTTAATTTTTATATCTTTATGTTTGAAGCCTGAAATGTGGCGAAATGTGGGGGCTGAATACTTTCGCAAGGCACTATAGTTGTAAACCGGCTGAGAAGAGCGGGGAGTCTTGATTCTGTAGTGACTGCAGAAAACCTCATCATCATCATGACACTGTCTGTCCTCTCTCCCTGGGTCTCCCTCAGGTGCTGTGACGTTAGGACCACTCCCTCTCCCTCTCTCTCTCCCCCTCCTCCCCCGCTCTCCATCCCCCTCCTCCCCCGCTCTCTCCCCCTCCTCCCTCTCTCTCTCCCCCCCTCCTCCCCCGCTCTCTCCCCTCCTCCTCCCTCTCTCTCTCCCCCTCCTCCCCCGCTCTCTCCCCCTCCTCCCCCGCTCTCTCTCCCCCTCCTCCCCCGCTCTCTCTCCCCCCTCCTCCCCCGCTCTCCTCCCCTTCTCCCCCGCTCTCTCCCCTCCTCCCCCGCTCTCTCTCCCCCCCCTCCCCCGCTCTCTCTCCCCCCTCCTCCTCCCCTTCTCCCCGCTCTCTCCCTCCCCTCCTCCCCCGCTCTCTCTCCCCCCCCCTCCCCCGCTCTCTCTCCCCCCCTCCTCCCCCGCTCTCTCCCCCTCCCCGGCTCTCTCTCCCCCCCCTCCCCCCCCCGCTCTCTCCCCCCTCCCCCGCTCTCTCCCCCCCTCCTCCCCCGCCCTCTCTCCCCCTCCCCCGCTCTCTCCCCTCCTCCCCCGCTCTCTCTCCCCCTCCTCCCCCGCTCTCTCTCCCCTCCCCCGCTCTCTCCCCCCCCCGCTCTCTCCCCCTCCTCCCCCGCCCTCTCCCCCCCCTCCTCCCCCGCTCTCTCCCCCTCCCCCGCTCTCTCCCCCCCCCCCGCTCTCTCCCCCCTCCCCCGCTCTCTCTCCCCCCCTCCTCCCCCGCTCTCTCCCCCCTCCCCCGCTCTCTCCCCTCCTCCCCCGCTCTCTCTCCCCCCCTCCTCCCCCGCTCTCTCCCCTCCTCCCCCGCGCTCCCCCCCCCTCCCCCCCTCCCCCTCCCCCTCCCCCGCCCTCCCTCCCCCTCCTCCCCCCCCCTCCTCCCCCCCTCCCCCCCCTCCCTCCCCCCTCCCTCCCCCCCCTCCCCCCTCCCCCCCCGCTCCTCCCCCCCCTCCCCCGCCCTCCTCCCCCCTCCCCCCCTCCTCCCCTCCCCCCCCCGCCCTCCTCCCCCCCCTCCCCCCCTCCCCCCTCCCCCCTCCCCCTCCCCCCGCCCTCCCCCTCCTCCCCCGCCCTCCCCCCCTCCCCCCCCCCTCCCTCCTCCCCCCCCCTCCCCCCCCCTCCCCCCTCCCCCGCCTCCCCCCCTCCCCCCCCCCTCTCTCTCCCCCCCCTCCTCCCCCCGCTCTCTCCCTCCTCCCCCTCTCTCCCCTCCTCCCCCCCTCTCTCCCTCTCTCTCCCCGCCCCCTCTCTCTCCCCTCCTCCCCCGCTCACCCGCCCCTCCTCCCCCGCTCTCTCTCCCCCTCCTCCCCGCTCTCCGCCCCTCCCTCCTCCCCCCGCTCCCTCTCTCCCCCCTCCTCCCCCGCTCTCTCCCCCTCCTCGTCCCCCCCCTCTCTCCCCCTCCCTCCCCCCGCTCTCCCCTCCTCCCCCGCTCTCTCCCCTCCTCCCCCGCTCTCTCCCCGCCTCCCCCGCTCTCTCTCTCCCCTCCGCCCCCGCCCTCTCTCCCCTCCTCCCCCGCTCTCTCCCCCTCCCCCGCTCTCTCCCCCCTCCCCCGCGCTCTCTCTCCGCCCCTCCTCCCCCGCTCTCTCCCCCCCCCCCGCATCTCGCTCCCTCAGGTGCTCTCTCTGACACTGGAGTCTTCTTCCTCAGGGCTCAGTCTCCTGAGTCAAACCTGGCAACGCTCATACCTCATTCATGCACGTCATTAGAGCTGCTCTCATTGGTGCATTTGTATGAACCATGTGTCCTCCACAGGTCCTGCCCATAGTCCTGCCCATAGTCCTGCCCATAGTCCTGCCCATAGTCCTGCCCATAGTCCTGCCCATAGTCCTGCCATGGCAGCCGGAGTCAGCCTGCTGAGGGACCTGCCGCCCCTCACCGCTGGCGTCTACAGCAGCGACACCAGCAGAGGTACCAGCAGAGGCACCAGCAGCGACACCAGCAGAGGCACCAGCAGAGGCACCAGCAGCGACACCAGCAGAGGCACCAGCAGCGACACCAGCAGAGGCACCAGCAGAGGCACCAGCAGAGGCACCAGCAGAGGCACCAGCAGAGGCACCAGCAGAGGCACCAGCACAGACATGGAGACAGGTAAGGGGCTCTCTGTGCTGTTTGTTATTCTGATAAATGACGTTCTATTCACTCTTCAGTAGCTCCTTGGTCGTCTTGGTAGTTTTTGTGGATGTATCGGTAACTTTGCAGTGGAGCCATACTCCGTTTACGAATGGATTGAGCATGTTCAAAGCTCGGGATAACTTTGTATTTACTGCTGTTTTAGTCATCTTTATTTATATAGCGCCTTTGACAGACCAGAGTCACCATTGTGGGCATTAGTCTCTGACTCCACACAGAGGTGGGAGGGGCCAGTGCAGGAGGCACAGACCTATTGTACATGTTTTTAGTGGAAGGGGAAACCGGAGGAAACCTACGCAGACACGGGGAGAACATGCAAACTCCACTCAGAAAAGGCCCTGTTCCGACCGGGATTTAAACCAGGACCTTCTTGTTGA